CAGCAACTCCACAAAGCCTAGCTATTCCTCACTCTCACTGGTAGGAGAGCCAAGCCCAGTCCTGGCATGGGGCTGGCCTCTCAGATCTTTGAATTTGACCCCTCATTCCCAGGTGGGAACCCTTTCTCCCCATCCCACAGCACGACCGGGCAGGGTTAAGAACAGGGCCAGGTGTCCAGCCTCCCAGCCTCATGTGCGCTCCCCTCAGCCTGCAGATCCTCTCTTTGTTAACAGTTGCCTTTTGTGTTTGATTTGGGCTTGAGATGTTAAACAAATAGTGTCTCTTGACAAACGCAAGCCGGCTGCACTGGGACCAGTTATGCTCCATAAAGCCAGGCTAATCCCCTGACTTCTCTCCCGACAGAGATACACCAAGAAACACCCCAATCATACCCAAAGCACCCTAAATCTGATCAACCCACGGTCAGGGACTGTGATCCCTGGTGCAGGGGTCAGTGTCAGCAATGTCCTCCCTGTCTTTCTGCAGCAGCTTCTGGGCTTCTCTCCCCCTTCTCAGGCCTGTCCCTGGGTTATGTCGAGATGGCTCTGGACCCTGCTTCCTACATGAACCATGGGCTCCAGGCCCTACCAACCCACCTGAGCCCACCAGGCCAACGGGACCAAATAGAGAGGTATTTACAGAACACCTTCTCTGTGTAAGGAAGCTGTGGGTTACAGACATGAGTAAGGCCCTACCCCTGCCCTACGGGAGCTTATGGTCTTGTCTAAACAGAACGAACTTGAAATTCATGTGAGGATCTGGTCTAGAAACTGATGGAGTCAGGCTCTGAACTTCAGTTTGTCTGACTCAGGGTCCTACCTCATTGATCCTGCCCCCATCCTCCAGCCAAACTGCCCATACAGGGGGCTGGAAAGCAATGGATAGAGAGGTCTTCGGGCCTCTCATCCTCCAGGCCACATTCTTGGCCATTATACAATGAGCACTGCTGGTCAAATGGCCAGGGCTCTCATTAATATCCCAGAATGTCAGAGCAGGAAAGGACCTTTCAATACAGCCAATGCTTTTGTCTTGTAGAAAAGGAAACTGAGACACATAGCGGCCATGTGAGTTTCCTGAGTCCACCCGTCTAGTTGGTGGGAACGGATGGCAGAACTGGGACCAGTCTCCAGCCTCTGGACTTCTAGTTCAGTGCTTTCTCCACTACACAACATGCTTCCTTGGGCCTTGGAACACTCACATCTGTCTTCATCCTCCTCTCCTAACCTAGACAGGGCTTGTTCCAGCTTTAGAATATCTCTCTTCAGAGAGCCACAGAAGCAGATTGCCAGGGTTTTTCTGCCTGCAGACTCAGCCATCTGTGCCCCTCTCTCTCTGACACTGATGGTCTCTAACTCAGGTATAGAGTTCTTTAAAGCCTTCATTTGAGTGAGTCACCCAAGGAAACATGTGGGACAGCTCTAAGGTGCAAAGCGCTGAGGGGAGAGTAGCATGAGTGAGAAGGGTTTCTTCCACCCTGGAGAAGATAATGAGCCAGCGGGGAAGACAGATATGAAAGAGCCGCTAATCTTCTGGGCAGGAGGAACACCTGCTGAGTTGATGCTTAGGGTAATGTGAGCACAAAAGGAGCCAGTGGTTCGGATCAGAGACAACCGGGCAATGCTTCATGGAGGGAGTGGTCTTTGAGCTGGGTCTTGGAGCCCAACTCTGTTGAAATAAGAGTTCAACAGACAGATGAGAAAGGCAAAGGGCACCAGCATCCCAGGCTACGGGAGCCACATGAGCCATGTGAAGCATGGAAGTACGTGGACGTGTTTAGAACTTAGAGAGGAATGGAGTGGAAGATAAAGCTGGAAAACAATTGTGGATGATATTAGTATATAATAAAATATAGTAACTGATGATACATTATGTTCAATGTATCCTACCTAACAAACTAGAATCTTAAAAGTGGTACTCTCTCCTCTTTTTGTCTGATTGTTGTGAGAGCTAGAAAAACAGAGTCCGGGATGTTCATGGGATGCTATAAATGAAGGGAGTGTAGACATTTCCTGGTCCAAACGCTTCCACTGATGGACGTGCATAGCAAGCCCCAGGGAGAAGGAGCAATTGGCCCCCAATGCCATAGCAAACATGTGGCAGAGACAGGTTACAGAGACTGGGCAGGTGCAGGCAGGTCTGAGGAGCCCAGGATGGGAGGAAATGGTATAAGCTGATAGGTCTTTGACACAATCTGACCCAGGTTGCCTACAAGTCCCAGGTGTTACTCAGAAACCTAGACTGGTACCAGCATGGCTTCTACCGCAGAACCCTCTCCCCAAGAGAATGGAGAGAGGAGGGGCAGGAAGAAGGAGACCCAGGCTGCCCTCTGGGCTTCAGGGCCTCCCCACTGATAGGTGCCCTGGTCCCATACATAATGGGTGCAACAAGAAAGTGCTAGCCTTGAGACATGAGTCCTGGTCCCCCCTCACTCACTGTGTGACCTTGGACAACACCCTTCCTACTCTCTAAGCCTCAGTTTCCTCATATATAACACAAGAAGGTTGGGCCAGATGATCTCTAAAGGTCCTTTCAGTATTGAAGTGCTGTGAGAAAAAGCTTCATCATGATTAATAATACATGCCCTGCCCCTAAAGACAGCTTTTTCCTGTTTCCAAAGCTCTTTCACTCATAATATCACCTTTCATCAGTACAGCTGTCTGGCCCGGCAGTTACAAGCAAGCAGAACCTGGACACAGCCTTTTCACCTTGAAAGCCTGGTCTAGCAAGCCACTTGCTCATCTAGGCAAGCTTTAGGGGAATTGGCTTCTGGGATAATTGTTTCCAGGAGCCAATATGTCAGAAAGGCACAGAACCTAACTTGTACTTTCACCTCTGAGAAGCCGGGAAAGGCAGCACTTTCCCTCCGGGGAGCCAGAAGATGCAAAGGGAAAAAGCTTGCAATAGGCTGAGTTCCTGGTCAAAGGGCAAGACCAGAAGGTTTGTGCCTGCAAAGAAACAAAGATCTTCCTTTGAAGGGAGAGGGGGAACATGGTGCTGTAAATGTAGGACCCTCCCATCGGGCTGTGGTTCAGAAACCAGAAGTCATTAGAGAGCTTGATATCATCTGATTTGCACACATGTGTTCTTCTTTGATCTCTCAAAACAAATGGTTAAAGGGGTGGGTAGAGCTAATATTATTATCCATTCTGCTTTACAAATTGAAAAATTAGAGACTCAAAGAGTCATGGCAAAGAGCATGGGCTTAAGATGGATGCAGACAGACTGAAGCCTCTTCCCAGCTGAGTGAAATTCAGTGATTCTCTACCTTGCCTTTAGCCTCAGTTTCCCCATCTATAAAATAGGCATGACCATATCTACCTTTCAGGGTTGAGGCAAGGACTAGAAATGATGACTGCCTGACACACAGCAGATGCTTAATAAATACTTGTTGAAGGAAGGAATGAGTTGGCAGCACTTCTGGGGTGTCATTAAAGAAGGAGGGTAGTGTCCAGCAGTGACGGGTCAGCCCAACCCTTGGGCAGATAGTGCTCCGGCTTCCGGCTGACTGCCTCCTGAGTCTGCTTGCAGACAGGGGCCTTGGTGTCTCTTCCACATCTCTGTGCATGGCCCATGCCAGGGTCCTGTGAAGGACTTTTTAACCCTCCTTGGCACTGAGATTTACATTCCAATCATTCTGCTCACTCAGCCCATCCAAGTCTGCAGTTGTTTGGAGCTGGGCAAGGCCTGTGGGATCATCTGCTACGACACCTCGTTGAAGAGATAAGGAAACGAGGCTCTGAGAGGGGCAGTGATGTCTGAGTTTCTGCTGCTCTTCTCACCTCACACGATAGCCACCATGTTGACAAATGAAGCAACTGAGGCATGGGGAACCCCCTCCTGCCTGGTTCCCCCCCACTCTGCCAGTGAGCCTCCTGCTGTGGGCCCCACTTGCCTAGTTCCAGCAGCTTCAAGGTGGTGGCAGGTGCTATCTCTGACAGCCCAACCTAAGCCCAGCCTGGCGCACGGGTACAGGACAGGAGCTATGGGAGTCAGGACAGCCTGGAAGCCCCTGGGAGCAAAGCAGGAGGCCTAGACTCCCAGCCTGTGCCTTCTCAGCCAGTTCCAAGAGCTGTGCTGACCTGGCGAGGCCCACATTGCCTGAGGACAGGGCTTTCCCTTGGGTGTCAGCTCATGTGTGCCCAGGTCCACAGCTGGGCCCTGCCTGCTTCCAAGACAGCCAGAGCCTGGCCCAAGGGAGGAAGGAGTGTGGCCTGGGAGGAAGGAACGCTTGGCTGAGTCCCAGTGCTGTCACGAACTCACACTGCGTGCCCATGCGTGTCACTTGAACTCTCTCGGCCTCCGTTTCCTCATCCGTAGGCTAAGGGCAGGACAGCGAGGCCCCAGGTGCCTCCAGGCTGCAATATGCTGTGATGAGGGTGGTGGGTGGGTGCGGAGGGGATCGCTCTGCCTTCCTTGCCTTTCTGTTTCTGTGTCATTAGTTTATCTTCAGCAATCCAGGCCTCTCTGTCTCGGTCTGTTGCTCTCTCTGTTTCCATCTTTTGCTCTGTATTTTTCTGCCCGCCTCTCTTCTTTTTCTGTCTGAGTGCACCTCTGATTTTATCTCCTCCTCTGTCACACAGCCCCCTCCCTCAGTCCTACACTGCCTTTCTCCCGTCCTCCGTAGTTATCAGCGTTTCGCTGTCTAGTTTTCTCTGTCTCTTGGGCTCTCTCTCTCTCTCTCTCTCTTTCTTTCTCTCTCTCTCTCTCTCTCTCTCTCTCTCTCTCTCTCTCTCTCTCT